GCTTTTTCCAACCTTGGTCTCAACAATTCTTGCTCATATAAACCCTCCTCTTTCTCGCCAACTGGACTCCTGGAGCTCCACCTGGGGCCTGACCACGGATCTCTGCATCCGGTTTTCTCAGTCATTGGATGGGGTTTCTGGCATGACTATTAGGGTTTTTGGCCATCCTATCACCAGAGTAGGTCAGTTCTGGCTGTCTCTCAACCATTGCCAGTAGTCTATTGTTGGGGGTATCTTTGTGGATTTCTGTGGACCTCTCTAGCACTTTGCTTCTTCCTATTCTCATGTGGTCTTCCTTTATCATGGTCTTTTATTCCTTGTTCTCCCTCTCTGTTCTTGATCCAGCTGGGATCTCCTGCTCCCCTAAGCTCTCTTTCCCTCGAACCTTGCCCTTCATTACCCCCACACACGTCCATGTTGTTCATGTAGATCTCATCCATTCATTACTACTTTAGGTACACCTTTCTATCATGGACTACATAGTAAATATATTTTAATATTAAAACAATCAATTTTGAAAATCATGTGAAAATTTAAAAAAATGGTTTTAAGAGTATGTTGTTTGTTGACCTTCAAGGAAAGTATGTCATTGAGGTCAAAAAAAGAGAACGTTAACAATTAAAAAAAAAGTTCAAATTACACTGAAAGAAACAATTGATGTCCTTGCCAATGTTCCTTTTAAGCTAGGTGGCTCCATGGCATATAAAAAGCAACTGTTGGGGGTGGTGGACTTGGACTGCTTCATTCTGTAGGTATTATTTGGGAGTTAAATCAGTTTATACAAAGGACAGTCCATGCATTGGTGTGGGGTAAATAACCTAAACTGGGCTTTCTCCAAAGGCAATAGCTTAATGACTTTAAATTCTATTTAGAATGATCTTTCCCAATGACAATGTTTTCACTGAGCTCTTTTCTATTGGTTTGACCTTAAAAATAGAAGCCATACTTTATGACCACTGAAAAAGAGACAGAAAAAAGGTGTCCTACCCTTGTCTCTTTAAAACAGGAAAAGCTCTCCTCCTTTGTTGATCATCTGGAGTCTGTGATCTAATCTTTTGTTCTGTGCTGTCTTTGTGTTCCTGGACTCTTGACATCTGTCATACTCAACCTCAGACTAACAACCTGAACCTAAAGCAACCCTTGCTGTTTGGGGCTGGCTTTGTCCTGTCTTCTCAGCATAGGGCTGACACCCCCTCTACAAATGCAGACTTCTCCACATATCTGGGTTTGCTCTGGCCCTTAGTAATTCAACTCTAAGAGGCTGTTCTCTCACATCTTTCAAAATCGACACTTTGATTAATTTCTCCTCCATTTGACAACTACTTTCCTCAGTCGGGCAGCATGGTCGTAACACTTCTTAGGTAGCCCTTAAGGCATATGCCCTAATTTTCAGGCTTTGTTACCTTTGAATGTAGCCATTTACTGTCCTATCTTTTTCTTGAAGTGTTGCTTTAGCAACATCCTCCAAATTTTGCTTTGTGGTAT